ATTTATAGGTAAAGTTGATCCAGGGATTATCCGATTGCCTCTCGGGGGGTCAGGAAGGAATTTTTTTCCCTGCAGGAGCAAATTGGATCATACTTTGCTGGGTTTTTTTGCCTTCCTCTGGATCAACTGTGGGTGTAGGATAATATATATATATATATATATTTTTTTTTTTAATGGTTGAACTGGATGGACTTTTGTCTTTTTTCAGCCAGACTATGTAACATACATACACACACATACTAATCAGCCATAACTTTATGACCACCCACCTAATAGTGAGTTTGTCCATCTTTTGCGTCAAAACAGCCTTGACCCATTGAGGCATGGAGACCACTAGACCAATGAAGGTGTGCTGTGGTATCTAATACCAAGCTTTCAGTAGCAGATTCCATAAAGTGGTTGGAAAGGCCTTCTATACATGAAGGGGAAAAACCTTCTGTGTGCAGCCCCCCTGCAATATGTACCTGAGCCCCATCGTGATCCGCGACATGCACAAAAGCCTTGACTCTCCGGGGCCTCTCCCTCCTCATTGGCTGAGACAGCAGCAGTTGAGCAATACATACATTCATACATACACACACACACACATTATATATATATAATGTGTGTGTGTGTGTGTGTGTGTGTGTGTGTGTGTGTGTGTATATATATATATATATATATATATATATATATATATATATATACACACACACACACACACACACTTTCAATAAAAGTTATTTTATGGTACTGCGTGTGTGTATATATATATATATATATCTTTTTTTTAAATTGTCCATATTGTTTTAAGTTTTCAATCAAGTGAATCCTGAATTTTCAGTTTCGCTCCAGAATTTTCATTTTGGTGCACTATTACTTTACACTTTTATAGGGTAATGACAGTGTCTCTTTAACAGCAGGGACAGGTGCAGTAAAATTTGTGAGTTGAGTATTACATAGAAAATTCCCATAAAAAAAAATCTAATACAACATGGATGTACTAAATTTAGTTTATACATGCAATAAATTCTTTAGAAAATTGAAAAAAACAATTGTGGCTGTTAAAAGTTATGATTTAGCAAACTGACACTTTAATAAATAGGATATAATGGGAATCAAAGTAAGCCTGCAGCAGGTAATATTTCATTCTGGCGGCATCTCTACTCTGGTAAATGTAAATTACCCTAATTAGAGAAGAATTAATAACATATGGAACTTATGGAAACTGATTCATGAACATAGAAGGGTGAGCAGATGCTGGCAGGCTGACTATATCCCACTAGGATGAACACTGACCTCTAGTGGTATATTTAAAAAATGCAAACATTGCAGGAAAAGCATTCCGAGAGATCATACTGTCCCTCAAGCAAGCTTGGCAAATCAGATCTCTTCACTTTTTTTATTTATTTATTTATTTAAGGTACTTATATAGCGCTGTCAATTTAAGCAACGCTTTACACATATATATTGTACATTCACATCAGTCCCTAACCCTCAAGGGGTGTACAATCTAAGGTCCCTAAGCACTTCCGCCTGGCAGTACTAGGGTCGTTGGTTCGAATCCCAGCTACGGCACCACCTGCCTGGAGTTTGCATGTTCTCCCTGTGCCTGCGTGGGTTTCCTCCGGGTTCTCCGGTTTCCTCCCACAAGCCAAAGACATACTGGTAGGTTAACTGGCTCCTGTCTAAATTGGCCCTAGTATGTGTATGTATGAATGTAAGTTAGGGACCTTAGATTGTACGCCCCTTCAGGGTTAGGGACTGATGTGAATGTACAATATATATGTAAAGCACTGCGTAAATTGACGGCGCTATATAAGTACCTGAAATAAATAATATATTTTGTTATTTAAAAGAAAAAAAAAAAAAAAAAAACTTTAGAAATCACTTCAATTTTTCTATCCTCTTCTTTTAGCAGGGTGACAACGCCTTTTGTTCTGCAGTGATATTGCACAGAAACGTTGTTGCCCTGTGGACGGACTGTGACTGACAAACAAATTACACCTGTACTCCATTTATTGCTAAATATGTTTCCAGATGGAGGCTCTCAGAGTAGATTTAGGGCCTATACTACAAGTAAATTTTGTATTGCTTGTTCTGTGAACTACAAGTCATCAGCCACAATGGCTGACAGTACTTGTAGGCATTCATTCACAGGAAACTGTGAATGAATGATGCGGCCATGTGGGCAGAGCCCCGCACAGCCACCCTGTTTTCAAACTGTGTGAAGATCCACCATCCATTGTCATGGGGGGAGGGGGGGATGAGGCTGCGGATGCTGTAACATGTTACATGTCCACCCTAAAAATGGGCTGAACATGTAACATGTTCCAAAGGCAAAATTATCCTTTAGAAAGTTAGTTATAGGTCAATTTCCAAGGATTTTCATTCTTTGGTTGAAGATTTACACATTACCTAATAGCAAGAAGATTCATTATCGGTTTTCTGGGACTGTGACCATGCACTACATTTTTGCTTCATTTGGGGGTGGACACTGAACCTTGTAAGGTCCGAGAATAGAGACAGGTCACAATAAAGATGTAACTTTTAATAATACAAAAAAAAAAAAAAAAAAGCTAGTAATAAATGGACTGTAGTCGTTTCCATTTCTGGTTTGACAAATTACAGCCCAACAAATTTAAAGCAGTAACAAACAAGTTGTTTTTTTCTTTTGGTGAAAAAAAAAGGTTAATCCCATTGATTGTTGTAAGCATCACTGGAAGTGTTATATGCTTTGCCCTAACCCTTGTAACTACCCTTTATACTGGACAGCTTTACTTGTTAAAAGAGTAACTCCAGGCTAAAAGGTTTTACTAAATTCTGATGGGTAACAGTAGTTAAAAGGATAAGTTCACTTTTCAAGAAAAAATAAAATGCACATATTTTTGCATAAAAAAACATTGCATTTATTATTTTTCCCTGTAGGAGCCTTGAAAGCATTGCAACTGTGATCAGTGGATCAAGGGTGCGATGTCAGGCTTCTGCAGACAAGCGCTGCAGCTTTCAGTCCATACCTGTATATGGCCTGTCAGTCAAGAAGGCTGCAGTGCTTGTAAATGAATGAGAGCACTCAGCAGCACCCACCCACAGTGGCTGACAGTAGTTGGTAGTTCATTCATTCACAGAAAACAGAATGAATGATGTGGCCTTGTGGGTGGAACCATCCATGTAGTTGCTTGGAGAAGATTCCCCAACCCGCCATCACACCAAGGGGGGAATCGGCAGAAACTGGCAGCAGGAGATGGAACATGTTCCAAAAGGTGAACTTATTCTTTAAATTTCAGACAATGTATGCCACTTCCTGGACCACAGCTATATTCTAATCATTAAAGTGATACTAAACCCATCATAAAAAAACAAAAATATCAGAATTCCCACAGCACCAATGAAATAGAAATGCATGTTTTGAATAGGAAAGACACCTCCATCTAACTTAATTTAATCCCTGAATCCCGCGATCACGTGACACAAAGCTGTGGCCAGCCGAGTGCTGAAACGTTCTGTAGAAGGAGACTTCTCTGACGTGTGTTGCGATTTTTACTGGCCCCTGACCCCCTTTCCGACCAGCCATGACACGGTCACATGTCCGCACAAAAAAAAAAAAAAAAAAAAAAACCACCATCAATAAAGATGTGACATCCCACCCACTGTAGTTTTTTTTTTTATGGAATAGGCATGGAGGAGAAAGGAGGGACTGGGCTGTAATTTAGGATCTGTATACATGCCCCAATGTGTGAAGTCAATGTCATGTGACCCGCCTCGCTCCAATCATACAGGAAATGTTTCTTCAGCAGTAGACACCAAACTGAGCATGTGCAGAGTGACCCCCACTAAAAATGTCTCATCAGGCGATAAGAGGGAAGCACTAGAAGGGGCAGATCAGAGAAGTCAGGATCAAACAGTGTTTTTACACAAAGCAGAGGATTTACCCTTTAGGTTCCACAGTGAGTATAACTAGCATGATTTACTGCATATACAGACTGATTTTACTGTTGTGGGTTTAGTAACACTTTAAAGTTTTTATTGCTGCTAGTAAATATATCTTTTGCTATGCTTTCGGCCTACCAAGAGGAGACTTGCAACTCTCCTGCACAGCAGCTGCACTGTGTACCCCTGCTCTCCCCTGTCCATTCACAGAATGCTTTGTTTTTGGTGAATGGGTTCACGGAATACAAAGTGTTTTATGAATGGACAAGAGGAAGGACAGGCAAATGATAGCACTGTTTAGAGGAGCCTCAAGTCTCATGCTGGAGTAACTGAAGCATCACCAAAGTGAATAATGAAGAAACAGCAGAGATCACGGATCCCGATAATAAAACCATGTTACAGGGAGGATGAAAAGGAAAACAAAAAAAAGCTGTGTAATGGCTGGTGACAAATTTGCATCATGTGTCATTTTTCCTTTTGCCAAGTTCCAATTAAAGAATTACAGAAACTGGTGCTTACAAACAGATTCTTAGTCCTGTAATAAAAAAAACTCTGGTTATCATGGACTATGTAACCTATCAGATCCAGTTCTTATTTGTTTACTAAAAAGGCCAGCAAACCCGGCTAAGACCTTGATTACACCAATGCAGTTTGCTTTTCATCCGTTTTTGTAATGCTTTTTGCATTTCGATTTGAGTTTTTACACATGCGTTTTTGCCGTGTATTGCGGTTTTTTTCAGCATATTTTGTTTGTTTTTCTGTAAAGGGGAAATGTTTTTGTTGCTGGGCAGAATAAAAGTGCAAAAAGTGGCAAAAATACACTACATGCGTTTCAACAAAGTCTCCAGTGAACTCTATTGTAGCAAAAACGCTGCCTTTTGCATTTAATAAAGTCCCTGACCCTTTCCAAAAACGCAGCTGCTGAAAAAAGCAAAGATGTGAATGTGTCCCATAGGAAACCATGCTAAATGGACTGTAGTGCATTTCTGCAAAAAACACTAAAAAACGCATTGGTGCGAACAAGGCATAATACACTGCTGTAGGCAACATACAGATGGAGAGGAAGAGGCGAAGGGCAGTGGATTCTTTACCTTGTTACCTTGCTCATCCACAGAACTGCTACCTGCAGGAAGAACACAAATAATTGTGGTAACGCATTCAGACAAAAGAAGTCATCATAAGGAGCAGTAACAGTGCCAAGTACACCAGAACACATCAAATCAGTAAAATTATTATCCACTTAACGCTGAGCTCCAGTCACAATATGAAAAAATAAATGTCAGCAGCTACAAAAACTGGACAACTTCCTCTACTGATCACCTAGGAAATCGCAGTAGAAGTGGGAGCAGGTACCTGTCAAAAATCAAGGGTACCCGCCTTCCCCCCTCGCTCCCTATAGAAAGGTGCCAATCCTTCTCCCCGCTTCAGACCATCCTGAACTCAGCGGCCAGACTCATCCACCTCACCAGCCGCTCCACCTCTGCCACCCCCCTCTGCCTCTCCCTCCACTGGCTCCCCATTGCCCAACGCATTAAATTTAAATTGCTCACCCTGACCTATAAGGCCATTCACAACACTGCCCCTAACTACCTCACCGACCTGATTCCCAGGTACCACCCTACCCGTACCCTTCGCTCTTCACAGGACCTCCTTCTATCTTGCTCCCTGGTCTCCTCCTCCCACGCACGACTGCAAGACTTCTCCAGGTCCTCCCCCATCCTCTGGAACTCACTACCCCAATCCATCAGACTGTCACCTTCCCTCCTCACCTTCAGGCGCTCCCTGAAAACCCACCTCTTCAGGGAAGCCTACCCCACCCTCACCTAACAGCCGCTGCCCTTCCCTCCTCCTACACCACTTCATCCCCCACAGCCGTTTCCTCCTGTGCCTCTACCCCCTCCCTCCTAGATTGTACGCTCGAAAGAGTAGGGCCCTCTAACCCCTCGTGTGCTGTTTGATGTTACTGTTCTGTTTCATGTATTGTCCCCCCTCTATTGTACAGCGCTGAGCAAACCCTTTGGCGCTATATAAACTCGATAAATAAATAAATAAATAACAGGGAGTGGGGGACAAAGCCTTAAAGCAGAACTTCCCCTTTTGGGTGGAGCTCCGCTTTAAAGACCAGGTCTAATCTGACACATTTTGTTTACAAGTACAAATCTGCATTTTTTTTTTAGCAGAGACCATAGAGAATAAAATGGCAGTCGCAAATTTTTGGGGAAAAAATAAGCTTTAATTTTAATGCAAGAAAACACAAAAGATGATTTTACACCCAGTACATAGATACCTACATGCTTTAAAATTGTGCACGTTCATGGAATGGTGCCAAACTACTTTACTTAAAAAATCTCCATAGGAGATGCTTTAAAAAATTTTTTTTCCAGGTTACCAGTTCAGAGTTACACATGAGGTCTAGTGCTAGAATTATTGCTCCTGTTATAGCGTTCATGGCGATGCCTCACGTGTGGTGCGAACACCATTTACATATTTTTTCTCAATTTTATTGCCATCACAGGAAATGGAAACATCCCCCGTGATAATAAAGCATGACAGGTTCTCTTTATGGAGAAATGTGGGGTTTAAAAGAACCCAGATCTTTCCTCTACCCTTGAAAGCATCTGATAAAATTAACAAAAAAAACACAGACAGACACACATTGATCTGATGCTTTCAAACAAACAAAAAGGCATTGTTTACATCTGCCATAAAGTGGAAGTGACATCATGACGTCACCTCTGGCCTCCTAGAAAAGGTCTTATACCCCAGATCCCTTCATAAAAAGGTACCGGTCACATGCTTATTGTTGTCACAAGGATGTTTTCATGCCTTGTGACAGCAATAAATGTGATAAAACAAAAATAAAAGAAACACTGAAAAAAAAAAAAAAAAATAAAAGTGCCTTCATGCAAGTTGAACGCACGCATCAGTCCTACACACATGCAAACAGCGATTGTCCAACATATGTGCGATATCACTGCCAACGTCAGATTATGGGCAGCAATTTTAGCACTAGACAGCCTCTGTAAATTTAAAGTGGTAACCTGTAAAGGCTTTTAAATCATTGCCTATGCATAGCATAATTTACGTTGTTTGTCGCCATTACATGGGCATGCACAATTTTAAAGCATGTCTAATATCTATTTACGACGTAACACCGTCTTTTATATTTGACAAAAAACTGGGTTATGTATTGTGTTTTTTGTGCATTTTTTCCAAAAAATTGCGTTTGAAAAAACCCACTACACAAAGACCGTAGGGCTTTTAAAACAGAGTATTTTTATCTATAAAAAACATTATATGATTGTTACATGTAAACAAGAAATGCCACATGTGTATTGATTATGAAAAGTGAAGTAATGCTCAGTAATGTGCCTTTAGCATTTACAATGTACTTATGATGTGTTTTCGTTGTGTTTTTGAAGTGTTGGAAAAAAAAAAAAAGCTGCATGAATGCTCGATAATTGCCCATGGAAGAGTTGATTTTCTAGTCGGAAGTTTTCACAGGGGAAGTGATGTGGAGGATATGATCTCCTTTGTGGCGTTGTTAGATTGTGGTGTGATAGCGGGTATTTTTGTAAATTCTCTGCAAGATGGATTCTTATACTTTGATCTCTCTGACACAAAAAAAAACAAAAAAAACAAAAACAAAAAAACTTTGCCACTGCTCAATGCCCCTGCCTGGCACTATCAGTAATGCTGGTGTTTGATGCTTTGGCCTGCACACAGAAGTAAGTGGAGTAGGCGCATGGCTGCTCTGTGCAAACAGGTAATAGCTGGAGCTGCTCTGTCCTGGTTCTCTATTATTTCCCAGTGCATTCTGGGATACAGAAACTTCCACTGTCTCTTCCCCAGCACCCTGACACGCCATAAATGCTATAGGAGCGGTTACAAGACCATTACCATTGAAATCAATGGAAGTGGCTGACAGGTTGATGCCTCGTGAGAGTTTTAACACAACTCAATGCTATCGCTCCTGTGGGAACAACACTATATGGTGTCTATTGTAATATTCATGGCAGGCATTGAAGGGCAGTTATGAGGCTTTAAAACTGCTGAATAAATGCATAAACAAAGGGTATGGATGCACATGTGAACAAGCCCCAGCACGGCCTGAGCATGTAAACATAACCGAGTGTTTACTGAACATCTATACAGAGTGTTTGAGTTGAATAAAATATTGTTCACTGATAGGGCCAGAACCAGGGAAGGTGCACAGCATAGAATCTCCTGACAAAATGGTACAGTCCCACTGAGAGGCAATCTGCAGAACCTCAAATCTTCCTATCAGGGATTTTATAAAACCCAGATTACTGAGCAGGCAAAGCACAGCTGTGACGTTTCCTAGTTAGTAGAAGCAGATTACAGATAGCCCGACAACTCACCGAAGGTATATACAATAAAACCGCTTCCCACGACTCCAAAAATTCCTGCTGTCCTCAAAAGAAACTTTTTGGCTCTTGCTTTATTGTCTTTCTGCTTTTGCTGCTGCTCCTCAGAGTCTGCATTAGCCTGGGGGTCCTCGGAGCCCTGTAGAGTGAAAACACAAACCTGACGGTCAATATGAGGAGGGTACAGTACTGTCTTATTAAGAGAATGATTCCAGCCCTTCCAGAGAAGATTGGAGAATAGAAGCTGGAGCCAGAGAGAAGTTTTCATTATTATGACATTACAATAGAAGCAGAGCTAGTGAAGGATGTATACTATTACTCCTTAGGCCTGGTTCACACCTATGCGCTTTTTAGTGCATTTTGCAGAAACGCACTACATTCCATTTTACATTGTTTCCTATGGGACACGTTCACATCTATGCGTTTTTCAGCCACTGTGTTTTTGGAAAGGGTCAGGGACTTTATTTTTTTTTTATTTTAAACACAACACAGCGTATTTTTGTTCAACAGACTTTGATGGACATGCAGTAAAAAAATCAAGCAGTGCGTTTTTTTTATGCATTTTGGTGTTTTTGCCAATAGCAAAGTATTGACTTTGATGCCACATTGACAACTTTGTACGGATGCTTTTTGTTTTGTTTTTTTGCTAATAGCAAAGTATGACAGTTCTGTTCATGTATACAACTTTGATGCAACTTTACACTCTCTGACACTCAAGTAGCTTCAAAGTTGCATCCAAATCTCACCCATCCAAAGTTGCATCAAAGACTCACCCAAAACAAAAAGCATGTTAACAAAATGCAACATTGGCAACATGCAGAGGCATGAACTTAGCCTTACTACTGTGTCCATCCCCATTGGAAACATTTCTCATTACTTCCTGTCCTTCTGATACAACATCACTTATACAGGAGGATGTGGAAAATCATCCCACCAAGATCACCGACAGCAATAAAAACCTGGCAGAAGTCCTAATGCCCTATTTTTTTTAACATATGTTAATGGAGGTAAACATCTTGATATACATTTAGGTCCATATATATTTGGACACGGGCACAATTTTAGATTTTTTCAGCTATTTATCAAAACATATTCAAGCTATAGTTATATAATGGATATGGGCTGAAAGTGCACACTCTCAGGTTTAATTTGAGGACATGCCTACCCACATTGGACAAAGGATTTAGGCATTACAGCCCTTAAGAGTAGCCATACCCCTTTTTCAAGGGACCAAAAGTAATTGGACAATTGTATCAAAAGCTGTTTCATGGCCAGGTGTGGGCTACTCCATTATTTGTTCATCAATTAAGCAGTAAAAGGTCAGGAGTTGATTCTAAGTGTGGTATTTGCATTTGGAATCTATTGCTGTGAACCTACATCATGTGTTCAAAGGAGCTGTTCATGCAAGTGAAACAGGCCATTGTAAGGTTTCAAAAAACAAGCAAATCCATCAGAAAGATAGCAGCAACATTAGGAGTGGCCAAATCAACAGTTTGGTACATTCTGAGGAAAGAACAACACACTGGTGAGCTCAGCAACATAAAAAGGCATGGACGTCCACGGAAAACAACAGTGGTGGATGATCGCAGGATCCTCTCTATGGTAAAGAAAAACCCATTCACAATATCCAGACAAGTGAAGGACACTCTCCACGAGGTGGGCGTATCATTGTCAAAGTCTACAATCAAGAGAAGACTTCACGAGAGCAAATACAGAGGGTTCACCACAAGGTGCAAACCATTCATAGGCCTGAAGAATAGAAAAGCCAGATCAGACTTTGCCAAAAAACATCTAAAAAAGCCAGACCAGTTCTGGAAAAGCATTCTTTGGACGGATGAAACAAAGATTAATCTGTACCAGAATGACGGGAAGAAAAAAGTGTGGAAATGGCTTGGAACAGCTCATGATCCAAACCACACAACGACATCTATAAAACATGGTGGAGGAAGTGTAATGACATGGGCATGCATGGCTTCCAGTGGCACTGGGTCATTGGTGTTTATTGATGATGTGACAGAAGCAGCAGGATAGATTCTGCAGTGTTTACAGATATACTGTCAGCCCAGATTCAGCCAAATGCAGCAAAATGCTAGGATGGCACCTAAATGTACTCAATTGTGTTGCCAGCGGTTTAGACATTAATGGCTGTGTGTTGAGTTATTTTGAGGGGACAGCAAATTTACATGTTATACAATCTGTACACTCACTACTTTACATAGCAAAGTGTCATTTCTTCAGTGTTGTCACATGAAAAGATAATAAAATATTTACACAAATGTGAGGGGTGTACTCACTTCTGTGAGATGCTGTATATACCACGGATGAGCAAATGATCACCGGACGCCCCGGACATGCAATTCCAGGCACCGGGAGGGTTTTCTTTTTTTTCTACATTTAATCCTACTGCGGGCAATTGGCTTCAATGCAAAAACACCTCACATAAACTTCATTGCAAAAACACCGGTCAATAGCAATCCTATGTGAACACTTATCTCTGCATGCCACTCTACGCTATAATTTTCTGAGTCTGGAACGCACTGCTACAAACTCACATAGGACCCTTTTCATACTGGCACTCAAAACGCAATGCATATGGATTGCATCTGTGTGAACCACCTCAATAGGAACACAGAATATCTAGCTTGTCATACAAATTTGTGCATTTGAAAAGGCATTCAAAATTGCATATATGTGAACCACGGACGCTCCATTCACACCTGGACGTTTTGGGATGGCGGCAGAAACAGCACAATTCTGCCCGTGATCGCAAAACGCAGGTTCTGGTGCCTTTATTTCAATGGTATCTAAAATGTGGTGGGGTTTTGGTCCCATTGTTGCACAGTAAATTGCATCATGGGAAGCTTGTCGCCCAAACGAAGCTCCTGCTCCTCTTTGGGCAACAAGCTTCACACGATGCAATCTGCCACGACTGCTGCACGACAATGTGGCAAAACCACACCGCGTTTTGGGTGCCATTGAAAATAATGACACCCAAACCTGCGTTTTGTGATTGTAGTATGTTCTGAGAGTGCGGGCAGAATCACAGCAATTCTGCCGCAATCCCAAAACGCCCATGTGTGAACAGGGCCTAACAGGTAGACACTGGAGTTTGATTTGGCTGCTCAGCAGGCATTAGCACCCAAGTGTTTCAGTGTTTGAGGGTAACCTGAAGGAATAAAGTTTTTTTTTTTCTCATTGGGGATGGCGCCTTATTTACTCTCTAAGCAGATGCGTTTCTGCTGAGCGTTAAAAAAAGAGCCAGACACTCCCCTTTCCTGACCAGCACCCAATCAGTACTCACTACACTGCAAGGATTCTCCTGTCCCTGTTAGTCCCCAGGTGTGGTAGGGGAGGTGAGGAGGAGATAAACAGTGCAATTAAAAGCATTACACTTACAAGTTTAACCACTTCAAGCCTGCCCCATAGCAGATGTACTGCTACAAGGCGGCCACGCTGTGCAAAATCACGTATACGCAAATTTGCATATCTGGGTAGGGAGCGCATGCACGCCACCCTATTCGTGCTACCATTGGCTCCTGAGGATGTCAATCACCCGGTCCCAGCTGGGATTCGGTGAGCGTCGGCGAAGCTGAGAGGGGAGAGACCTGTGTGTAAACAACACAGGTCTCTCTCGTCACTATGGACATGCTGCTGTCTCTCTCTCAGCAGACAGAAAGAAAGGAGCAGGTCTCTCTAGTAAAACAGCACACAGTTAACCCTTTGATTGGCCCAGATGTTAAACCCTTCCTGCCCAGTGTCATTAGTACAGTGTCAGTGCGTTTTATTAGCACTGATCACTGTATTAGTGTCACTGGAAATGTCAGTGGCAGTTCCCCCCAGTGTCAGAATACCGGATGCAGTCCTGCAATAAGTCGCTGATCGCCGCCATTACTAGCAAAAAAAAAAGAAAGAAAAATTGCAGTATATATACACTGCCATTTGTAGATGCTAGAACTCTCACGTAAAGCAATTATACAATATACACTTATTGGGATTTTTTTTAGACATGTAGCAGAATACATTTTGGCCTAAATTTATGATGAAATTTGTGGGTTTTTTTTACTGGACATGTTTAACTACATCCTGACCGCCCTATAGCAGATATACTGCTACAGAATGGCAGGGGTGCACAAAATTTGCATCCGTGGCTGTCAATCACTGGGTCCCAGCCGGTGATTACTGAGGATCTCCGATGTGGAGGACTGCTTTGTTTACTAACAGTCCTCCTCCCTGTCGGCTCGGGCACACTTATCTGGATGGCTGATCCAGAGCAGTGTGCTTACAGTGAAGCACCAACTTACCGCCCTCAGTAAAACACTCCCAGCACACAGTTAACCCTTTGATCGTCCCTCATGTTAACCCCTTCCTGCCCAGTGCCATTAGTACAGTGTCAGTGCTTTTTTTTTTTAGCACTGATCACTGTATTGGTGTCACTGGGGATGTCAGTGACACCAAGTCAGTTCCCCCCAGTGTCAGAATGCCCACCACGGTCCCCCTATAAGTCGCTGATTGCCGCCATTACTAGTAGAAAATAAATTCCAGTATATATACCGCCTAGGCGATTGGAAGCGGAAGTTGTCTTCCTACCCTCCCTCCCCGTATTCTTGTGGGACACATGACAAGAATTCAGGAAGCGCATGTGCAGTGGACAAGCTGTCACAGCCGGGTGCCCACACTGAAGATGCAGGTGCCTGGAATACAGGATGGGCAAGTACCGAGGGACAGGTAAGTGGCTGTTTTTTAAAAGTCAGCAGCTACAATTTTTGTAGCTGCTGACTCATTTTGTTTTACAGTGTGAGAGGAACTCTGCTTTACATGGCTCCACAAAGGTATCAGCATGTACTTAACTGACAGTATCGGTACTTGTCAGTAAACAAACTGGTCTTGGTGCATCCCTATTTTAGGTGTCAACAGTCTCCAGGACCAATAGAGAGGGAGAATGTCCATAGGGAGCGCACTGACAGCAATAACATCTGACAGGGGTTCTAATCCCTCTCCAGTCCATCCACACCTGGAGTTTTGTATACAATGACAGAGAAGCCACAGAGGCCTACACACATGGTCAGTCCAGGTCCAGCACTCTACAGTGTAGAAGGCCAGAGATGTGACCACTGAGCACATAACAGGGAAATCCAGGGACACTTCCGGGGGAAAAATACTCCAATCCCGGGACTGGACACCACGGCCACCTGACAGCTATACAGGAGGGCACAGAGGTCAGGGGTCACATCCTTAATGGAGGTCAGGGGTCACGTGTCCGGTGTGCCTCTCACCTCCTTCTGTTGGTTCCGCAGTTTGTCCTGCAGTACAGTTCCGGTCAGACTACCCCCGGGCCCGGAGCTCAGCAACCGACATCCGAGCAGCGCCCGTGTAGACAGGAGAAGCCGCCCCGTCCTCCCACACGCAGGCACCAACGAGGCCGCCATCTTCCCCACACTGTACACACCGGCCAATCAGAAAGAAGCCGGTCAGCGCGTCGCCCAATCCATAGTCTTTTCCGTGCCGGCCAATCAAAAGACCGAAGCCCCTTTCGGCCAATAGAAGCGCCGATAGAAATCCGCACAGATTAGTTAGCATACTGCGCAGTCTCGATGCCAATGTCAGGCGGCCATGTTGTGTGTGGCGGCTGGAGGGAGCTGTCAGTACACGTGGTGGGAGGAGCCTGGGGGGGTACGACCCTGCCCAGTGACGTCAAGTTTAATCTGTTTCAAGGCTCATGTACACTGCAGCTGATAAACTGACGTTCAGGAGCTTTTCTGTGTTTTTTTCAGCAATCCCTGAACTCTCCATGTTTTCCTATGTATCCATGTACACGATGTTGTTTACAGTCGTTTACAGGCAGTTGAGTTTACAGTTGTTTTTTTAATGCACCAAACTTGTTTTCAGGAGTAGATTTAGTCAGTGTTTCAAACGCCAAACGCTTGTAAACACGGCTAACCGCATTTATAAGCGTTTGCGTTTAGAAGGGTTTTTTTAACTTCCATATCCAGATGCTGTCCAGAGCCTTTTTTCATCATCGGAAATGCATGCAAAGCGTTTTCTATGTATTCAAATGGACCCGGTACACCAGTGCAGTCAGGTCCAGGTTTCGCGTGAAGGAAAAAATGGCAGAATGTGCCGCATTATGCTCATGATGGGATCCATAGGGAATACAACCAGAAAAGACAGGTCATCTCAAAACATACTGCTCTCTCTGCTTCTGCTCTCTCGATTCCTCTCAAAATGTCTGAAATTGTTAATTTTTTACTATTTTTCAGTGCATTCTGGGCAATTTGGAAGGTCTCCTGAGGTTATCTTTAAAAAACGCTTCTAAACGCAAACACTCATAAACGTGTTATGCAAACACGGCTAAACAGATGTTTTTTAACCTACGTTTTCCAGCAGTCAGTTTCCATCATTCAGAAGAGTTTTCCAAACGTCCCGTGTACATTGAGCCTAACTATGAAACATGAATGGGGCTTTAACCACCTCCCACCCGCCATATAGTAATATGATGGACGCAAGGTGGTTCTCTTGTTCTGGGAGGACTTCATATGACGTCCTCCCATTCTAACCGCGCATGCGCGGCTCCTGGATAGTGCAGCGCGGTGATCGGCGGTGCTCTGTGTCCCTCGGACACAGCAGATTACCGATCCACGGAAAGAGCCGAAGATGTAAGCTCGGTCATGTGATCAGCTGTGTCCAATCACAGCTGATCACATGTAAACAGGGAAATGCCAGTTATCGGCATTTCTCTCCCCACGAGCTGTCACTCTGACAGCTCATGAGGAGAGGAGAGCCGGCAATCGGCATTCCTCGGAGGGGAAATGTACACAGATCATCAGAGCACTGATGATCAGTGTGCCCTGATGATCTGTGTAGCCCCAGCAGTGCCACCTGTCAGTGTCCATCAGTGCCAGCTCTCAGTGCTCATTCATGCCACCTGCCAGTGCCCATCAGTGCCACATATCAGTGCCACATCAATGCCACATATCAGTGCCCATCTGAGCTGCCTTTCAGTGTCACCAATCAGTGCCAGTCAGTGCCACCTATCAATGCCAGTCAGTGACACCTATCAGTGCTGCCAATCAGTGCCACCTATCAGTGCCAGTCAGTGCCCTATCAGTGTGCATTAGTGCCGCCTATCAGTACCTGTCAGTGCTGCCTATGAGTACCACCTAACAGTGCCAGTCAGTACCGCCTATCAGTGCCAGTCAGTGCCGCCTATCAGTGCCACATATCAGTGTCATATATGAGTGCTGCCTTTCAGTGACCATCATTGATGCCTGTCAATGCCCATCAGTGCCACCTACCAGTGCATCCTCATGAGTGCCCATCAGTGCCACCTATCAGTGTCCATCAGTGCAGGCTATCAGTGCCCATCACTGCAGCATCATTAGCGTACATCAGTGAAGGAGAAAAATCATTTATTTACAAAATGTTATAACAAAAACAAAGGAAAAAACATTTTTTTTCAAAAATTTCAGTGGTTTTTGGTTTGTTTAAGAAAAAATAAAAAACTCAGAGGTGATTAAATACCACCAAAATAAAGCTCTATCTGTCACAAAAAAATGATAAAAATTTCATATGAGTACAGTGTTGCATGACCGCGCAATTGTCATTCAAAGTGCAACAGAGCTGAAAGCTGGAAATTGGCCTGGGCAGGAAGGGGGTATAAGTGCCCTGTAGGCTAGTGGTTAAGAGGCATCACACCAAAAAGAAGATAAATACTCAAAATATAAAACATTAAAGCTTTATTGAACAATATTAACACCACGGTTGTGGTAGAGGTTTTGAGCATTCACACTTGGGGAGTAGAGGTGTAGTTTGGATGGATTTGGGACACAGTGTCAGGGAAGAAAAAGAAATCCTGGCAAATGCGCCAATGCCCAATACGGCCATGCGCATGGCAGTCACGCATCCATGTGCGCAACAGCGTATCGGCACATGCAAGGTGCGATAGTTGCTGGCACCCAGTGGCCTTTATAAAGACTGCAACCCCTCAATAATTGCTGGATTATCGTCAGCCTCCTGTTCCTGTGCGAGTCACCCTGCTGATTATCCGTTACAGACCTGGCTTGCCACTGACCTGCTTTGGCTTCTCTCCTGGTTCTTACCCTGGCTTTTTCCTCGGATCTGCTCCTGCTTATTCCTGATTGATGACCTGTGCATGACCCTGGCCTGCTCCTGACTATGCTCCTGTCTCGGCTTCTGATTGATGCTGTGTTTGACCCCAGGCTCTGGCTTCTGACTTCGCTTCCTGCTCTGCCCATCTATCTAGATCCGCCAGTCTTCTGGAGAACCCTCTCCTATATCCTCTCCACCCATGAGTGTCATGTCATTGGGTATCACCAGGCAACTACATCATTGGCAACCTGTGCTTCTTTGGGCACTGCACCTTCTGTTACCACCTTCAGGGGTGCTTTGCACTTAGCCATAAGGGGAGCCCTCTCATTACCTCCGCCTCCAGTCAGGTACGTGACACACAGTGAATATTTGATTTGTTTTCTCAGCTTTTAATACGGATATGTACTTTGTGCACCTGGCCTATCTCTGCACCCTTGATGGAGGGAATCATTTTGGATTTAAATGGGCATGGCTCTGGGAGCAGTCATGGAGGCGCATGGGTCTGCGCATGCGCAGAACGCCAATGCGTTCTAATCATCAGGCGCTTGGACCTAGGCGGCGGCGGCCACGCATGCGCACTCACGATCGCGGCCGCGCGCCTGCCACCTATGACTGCGCAGGGCACTCTATTTAAACCAGCCCTGCACAGACACTAGTCGCCGTATGGTGTTATTACCCTGTTCCTGCTCCTGTGTACCTATTGATTGATTTGTTGCCGACCCTGCTTGATCCTGACCTTTGCTGACTATCTCCTGCTCTGATCCCTAGCTCGTTTGACTACTCTCCTGGATGTCCCTATTGATCTGAACTCCTGTTACCGAACCCAGCAAGTGACCTGACTACTCTTTGCCTGCTGCTTTGTACCGTGCTGTCCCCACTGTTACCGACCCAGCCTGTCTGACCACGCTTGCTACCCTGCCATCCATCCATCCTGCACGGATCCAGTCACTACTGCTCAGGCCTATCCGCCTCTTCACGTCAGGCTCTCTACCAGTATACACCTCTGGCGGATCCCTCTACCACAAGGCGGGTGTACTCAGGGGCCACGACCTGGTCACTGTCTGCTCCAAGTCCATCTCCACCATCAGGGGCCCTGGTGAACAAGCAGACTGGGACTTAGACTCTGTGCTCTGCGGAATCCTGTCCTGTGGATTGCTAGAGGTACCGCCAGGCGGTGTCTGACAGGCTCCCTGTGGCTTTTTGTGAACATTTATATGCCATCATCTGGTAAACCTAAATATTTGATTGTTATAGATGTTATTTTTTTCTGATATTCTTTTGATATGTTGTATGCTTATTCTGGCTTTTTCTATATAATTTTAGAATTATATGTTACATCTCCCTGAGGAAATGGGCTATTCCCCTGCGAACTGCGTCGGAGAAAATATCGATGTAAGATCTTGAAGAAATTATGTCAACTAGGCTAGATATGTCATCCAGGGATATTCTCTGTAATGTTATGTAATAAGCCTATTATTTCACACAAGCTACACCTGTCTTTTAATATGAGCTATGTGAATGCTCAAAACCTCTACCACAACCGTCATTTTTATATTGTTCAATAAAGCTGTAACATTTTATATCTGAAAGTCCCATTAGTTTTTCTTAGTTAGGGTCCTTATGTTTTTCAGTGTCTTGTTAATAAGAGGTGTGGCACCAGTAAAATCCATTAACAAGGGGTGAGACCAGATAGCTCATGGGGCCCCCGGGCAATAGGGGATCATGGGGCCCTTGTGTCCTTGCCCACACTCAAATCAAATCCAAAAAAAGCCTATGAAAGGTACCAGGGGCATCTCATGAGGCCCCCAACTGAACCCAGGCCCTCGGGCAGTGCCCAAGTGCCCAAATGGTCAGTCCACTCCTGGGTAAGACCTTCACTCATAGGCCTCCCTCTCCCTCTTCTCCTATTAGTGTTGTGTCTTCAGGGTGACCTGCTAGGTGGATGGGTACCAGAGGAAGGGGTTAACATTGCTGGCCAAGCTTTCCTGCCAAAATCGACCACCCCCTACAGGTCATTCAAGATTAATAGGGGCCCTCCCTGCTGAAATACTGCCAAGATGTAGACTGCTATGCTGCTGGACTGCGCCCCTGCCTGGGGCCAGTCGGGGTTCCCTGAGGGGCTGGGACTTGCTTCACTTACGAGTCACTGACCTATGTCCCCTATGTGGTGAAAACAAAAAGTTAAGTAAAAAATGTATTGTAATGTAATTGTAAAAAATGAAGTCACAACAAAGGACAAAAAATCCCCCCCAAAAATCTTTTTGAGGCCCCCCCCCCACCACATATACACACAAATGTAAACACACACATAAAAGTGATCAGAAAGCTGTAAAACGGCTGAGATCACTTTTACTAGAAAGCTGACCGCCAGCTGAAAAAAATGGTACCAGGATACTAGCTTTCTTTTTTATTCATTTGCCTCTGAACTTTCCTACTGGCCCAGCTCCTCCAATCTTCCCTTCCTTTCCCTTTATAAAATTCTATGCAGCAGCCAGGAAAGTCATGAAAAGTAATACTGTAGATTTCACTTGAGTGACAGCTTTAAATCTGCTGAGACTGCTGATATCATATCTAAGGTGGTGGCACCTGGCAACAGTCTCAGGACTTTTGGATATTCACGCTATAATGGGATCAAATATGTTAAATGCACATATATTATAGAAAGATTCTTGGGACTGACAACATGATCTTTTTAAATTGAATGGTACTGATGTCCTAAAACAGCTTCCAAAGACTCACCATGGGAAAGATAGAGTGGCCTGAAAACTGTATGAGGTTAATTGGTGGACTGATGGGATTCCGCGTATGATTTTTGTTCTCTGCCTCTCTGTGGAGATTTCCATCTACTTTCTGTCCTGGAGATGAACAGGAAATGATTGGAAATTTTCTCCCAAGTAAATGGAATTCCCATCTTAAGCTTTGTTAAAATGTAAGTCCAGCCTATTCCTAACTAAACTTAAGTAGGTTCACATTTGTGCGGGTTGTGCGTGTGCGTTGCACAGGCACAGCAGTCCGTTCATTTGAATGGGCTGCTGTAATTGCAAGAGACACAAGGAAAGAAGTCCCCAACTCTTTTTTAAAAATGAAGCTGCATGGAGCCACGTGATGTGGTACTATGTTTTGCACACATGTAAATGCGTCATGGTTTCTGATGCATATAGGTGCCATTAAGACTTAAAGCATACAGTTAACCCAACATTTCATATTCCTGATATGTGCCCGCTGTACCATGTACTTGTGTGAAAAAAACCTGTTCTCTTTGTATTGCTTCCTTTGAGTGTTCCTGCCAGTCCCCTTGCTTTCCTATTAAAAGCTGACCACACTAAGCAGGAGAGCACACTATGATCAATTCTCTAGCTGTGTTGTGAACTCTGACTTTTCCTGGTTCCTGGCAACATACACATGGTTGCTCCATTCACATCCAACCCACAGGACTAATATGTAGCACTACCCCATTAAGAGTGGCTAAGTTATTTTTGGGTTCTCTCTCACTCTGGACTCCTCTCTGACAGCCCAACTCCTGCTGACAGCACAGTACTCTTCTGACCAGAGTAAATTATCACCAGAAAATTAGAGAATACACAGATTAGAGTGAACTGATATGATGTTTATATTAAACTTGACTGTAAACTCGGTAAAACAGCATAAAGTGGTATATGTGTATGTAATGGCAATCTAATTGTTACTCTTAGCAACTCTAAGCAAAGAAAACAACACATACAGCAAAATCTCAGTCAGTGTTCACAGGCCTGCTATTCAGAAGTTAACCCAGGACCTCAAGCCTGAGGTATTTCTAGTCCCCAGTGAGCAAGAAAAACTTTCAAAGGGTGAACTAGCTCACTTTGGGACCTCAGGATCTGATGGTAAGGTTTAAATATGAGATAGGGAAAGAGCTTTTTAAATAGGGTAGTCAACGTCAGGGGCGGACTGACAACTCATGGGGCTCCCAGGCAATAGGGGATCATGGGGCCCCTGTGTCCTTGCCCAACTCAAAAAAGCCTATGAAAAAGGTACCAGGGGCATCTCCTGGGACCCCCTACTGACCCCGGGCCCTTGGGCAGTGCCCGAGTTTCCAAATGGTCAGTCCGCCCCTGGTCAACGTCCATTTAAATGCAGTAAGGAATCTTCAGCGTGCTCGTTGGGGCCCAGTTGGTGCACTACAATTATTCAGACCTTTTCAGTTGGGAGAGATGAAGGTGGCA